GACAAACAGAGAGTCTCAGAGATACTCCTGAGGACAAACAGAGAGTCTCAGTCTGGAGAGATACTCCTGAGGACACACAGAGAGTCTCAGTCTGGAGAGAACAACGCGGGGCACTGCCGCTCCGACGTTCGCGGCGTTGTGTTATTTTACTATACGATGCGATAATACTTTAAAGGTCAGATCAGGTCTGAAATGCTCCTTGCATCCCAGCAGCTCCATGTGTAACATCAGACAAACATCAAGACATGAGAAACAAACAACAAACATGGAACATCACAGCAGGATCAGTGAGAGCTGCTCGAAGAGCCTTCAGCGTGCATCTGATCTGTAGCTCTGTGTTCACTGAGAGGACTGGAGCACAGAGGATGCTTCAGGCTGACTGGAGCACAGAGGATGCTTCAGGCTGGAGCACAGAGGATGCTTCAGGCTGGAGCCAGAGGATGCTTCAGACTGGAGCACAGAGGATGCTTCAGGCTGACTGGAGCACAGAGGATGCTTCAGGCTGGAGCACAGAGGATGCTTCAGGCTGGAGCACAGAGGATGCTTCAGACTGGAGCCCAGAGGATGCTTAAGGCTGACTGGAGCACAGAGGATGCTTCAGACTGGAGCCCAGAGGATGCTTCAGGCTGACTGGAGCACAGAGGATGCTTCAGGCTGGAGCACAGAGGATGCTTCAGGCTGGAGCACAGAGGATGCTTCAGGCTGGAGCACAGAGGATGCTTCAGGCTAACTGGAGCACAGAGGATGCTTCGCTGACTGGAGCACAGAGGATGCTTCAGGCTGACTGGAGCACAGAGGATGCTTCGGGCTGGAGCACAGAGGATGCTTCAGGCTGACTGGGCGAGGGAGCACAGAGGATGCTTCGGGCTGGAGCACAGAGGATGCTTCAGGCTGACTGGAGCACGGAGGATGCTTCAGGCTGGAGCACAGAGGATGCTTCAGGCTGACTGGAGCACAGAGGATGCTTCAGGCTGGAGCACAGAGGATGCTTCAGCTGGAGCACAGAGGATGCTTCAGGCTGGAGCACAGAGGATGCTTCAGGCTGACTGGAGCACAGAGGATGCTTCAGGCTGGAGCACAGAGGATGCTTCGGGCTGACTACTTCCATTCGTGAGAAGATCATAAATACATGGATCCTGATATTGAAGCTCAAGCCGGGGACCAGGGAGACTTTTCTAACAGAAATAAAATAGCATTAAAAAACATGTTTCTAGTTATTGTGCTATATATTCAATTTGGTCTTTCCATGACAGCAGATGGTCGATCTATATCTCTATATCTCTATATTGTATTTGTTCCCTGTACTGCACTCTGGTCAACGTGGGTTGTTTTTAAATGTGCTGTATAAATAAATGTGATGATTGATAAAGATGGAGATTGATGGATCTTACGTGCTCCTCCCAGGCTCTCTTCTCCCTCTCCAGCGCCTCCACCCTCTTCTTCTCCAGCTGCTCTCTCAGCACAGCAGCTCGAGTGTTAGCTTGAGCCTGACGGGACGAGAAGCACAAGCAAAAGATCGTTTTCAACTCCATCCATTACGCACGGTGATTTCATTAGCTTAAGTTATGGGAAAGAGCGCCGGTCAAAAAGCTTTATTCCTATAAGTCTTCCGGCTTCAATGTGACATATTAATGTAATCCTCACCTTTAGCGCCTCGATCTTCTTCCTCTTGAGCTCGGCGTCCTCGCTGGACTCCTGGCTGTCTGACCCGTCGCTGTCGTACTGAAACACAACAACAACAACAACACAGGAGAGGAAACGTCAGAAATCTCCCATTGCACCGTATCACTGCACTGGTTACCGGCGTCCTTCAGAATTCATTTTAAAGTGCTTTTAATGACATGCAAGGCTTTACTTAACCTCGCCCTTCACATATGTAAGTGACTCTCATGTTATCAACCTGCAAGGACTTTTGAGAAAAAGTCAAAGAATTTAGATTTTTTAAGAAAAATCCAGAATATTTTGAATTTTTTGAAAATGTCAGAATTTTGAGATTTTGAGAAAAACACCAACAAATTCTCTTTTTTTGTTTTGACTAAAAAATGTAAACTCAAGGCTTGAGCTTCAAGCCGGTGACCAGTGAGATTTTTCTAACAGAAATAAAATAGCATTACAAATTGTTAAATGTGGAAATACAAATACATACAAATAAAATACATACATACAAAGCAGATGCTCACCTTCTCTCCTCTGAGCCGGGCTTTGATCTGCTGACGCTCGTTGAAGTTCTGCAGGCGGATCTGCCTCAGCCTGGAGAGATACTCCTGAGGACACACAGAGAGTCTCAGTCTGGAGAGATACTCCTGAGGACACAGAGAGTCTCAGAGATACTCCTGAGGACATACTCCTGAGGACACACAGAGAGTCTCAGTCTGGAGAGATACTCCTGAGGACACACAGAGAGTCTCAGTCTGGAGAGATACTCCTGAGGACACACAGAGAGTCTCAGTCTGGAGAGATACTCCTGAGGACAAACAGAGAGTCTCAGTCTGGAGAGATACTCCTGAGGACACACAGAGAGTCTCAGCCTGGAGAGATACTCCTGAGGACACACAGAGAGTCTCAGTCTGGAGAGATACTCCTGAGGACACACAGAGAGTCTCAGTCTGGAAAGATACTCCTGAGGACAAACAGAGAGTCTCAGCCTGGAGAGATACTCCTGAGGACACACAGAGAGTCTCAGAGATACTCCTGAGGACACACAGAGAGTCTCAGTTTTGAGAGATACTCCTGAGGACACACAGAGAGTCTCAGTCTGGAGAGATACTCCTGAGGACACACAGAGAGTCTCAGTCTGGAGAGATACTCCTGAGGACACACAGAGAGTCTCAGTCTGGAGAGATACTCCTGAGGACACACAGAGAGTCTCAGAGATACTCCTGAGGACACACAGAGAGTCTCAGTCTGGAGAGATACTCCTGAGGACACACAGAGAGTCTCAGTCTGGAGAGATACTCCTGAGGACA